TAATCATAATATGGTAATTATATAAAATCTGAAATCGAAACTCACTTAAGAAACAATACTTAAACGTGAAACTAATAGGCAGAACGTTGTTAGGGCATTTATCCTATACTATAACATCCTCCAATCATTGGTTATAATTACTTCATGATTACTTACTATAACCTGTGAATAGTAACCCATATAATAATACTTAACATTAATTTGAAAAATCAATATTGCAGCAAACAAAAAGAAATCCAATTCACTACATACCAACATATAATATTATATAATACTACCTTTCCTTCCAGAACAATGGACAACTTAACATATTTAGCAATATATTGCGTACTCAAAGAATCGAAAGTTTGAACTTCTCACCTGAATTCGTTGTCGGCCGCCGCAGGTAGTATTCCAACCCTTCTTTTTATTTTTTTATCCTTTTCCTTCTGCGCGAACTGCTATTGTTCACAACAGCCAGCAATATTTTCCCTTTTATTTCTATTTCAATTTTATTTATTCACCTTTTCTATTATTATTAGTAACAAAATAACCTTGTCTTAAATCTGAAAATTATATCACTCATTCTTATAAGTCATAAATTATTTATAAAAGCTACTATAAAGGGTTAATATATAAATAATGATTAAAATTCATAAAACCACTAACAGGGTCGTTACACCCACACTCTACTCTATATACATGCTCAAGATAATTTTTTCGTGTTTGTTAAAAAGATCTATGAAAAACTTACAATCAAAGATAGACTTGTTTGAATCTCGAAATTTAAAAAGTGTCGCATAAAATAGGACGGAGGGAGTATATGTATATAAAAGCAAATGTACTTTAGCTACCTTGTGGGATTTCCATGACCCGCGGCTACAAACAAAAAATATCATAAAAGTCCGAAAAAAGCAATAAACTTCATGTGGTACGTTAATTAATCAAGATTAGCATGAATATAGATAATCCAGAAAATAATAAAGCTATTTCCAATTGTGACCATACCAAAAGCAATTAATCCAACTCTTTGTAATCTAAAATTTAGTATTGATAAATCACAATTAACCACTTAATGGAGTTCTTTTAGTTACGTAGAAGAAAAAGAAAGCGTACTTGAAAGTTGAAAGTGGAAGTCTAGTCTTTTTTCTTAAAACAAACAAACAAACAAATAAATAAATAAATAAGGGAGAAGGCTCAAGTACCCCCTAGACTATGCCGGAAATCACAGAGACACACCTTAACTAAACTAAGGTTTTATTACCCTCTGAACTCATTTTATATATAATATTGTACACCTTTTAGCTTATGTGGCACACCCCGTGACTCCACGCAGTTGAGACGCGTGGGATATATTTGGATGCCACGTAAGCCAAAAAGGTGTACAAAATTACAAAAAAAAAAATGAGTTTAGGGGGGTAATAGGACCTTAATTTAGTTAAGGTGTGCCTCTGTAATTTGGGTCATAGTCTAGGGAGGTACTTCTACCTTTTCCCAATAAATAAATATAATAGAATCTATTTAAAAAGTTGAATGCATAATTAAATCAATGAAAATACTCTATATCTATGAATTTAATTGTTTGGCAAGTTAAGGCACACCACTCAAAGCAGAGCGGAGTGATATTGTTCTTTTGAGCTAAATTCACACGATTTTAAAAAGACCTTACACCATTAACAGTATCTAACACCTTAAAAGTAAGATAACTTTTGTTTCATTTACTGTTGTAGAATTTTGTTTACACACACCCAACAATTCCCTCTCTTAACTAGGTTCCACATGACCATTGTTATACGATTAAATGTGTCACTCACAATCACCACATATTTGTGACCACCAAAATTCACTAGCTTCTTTTTATATGTAAGTCTTCGAAGCTATGGATAAAAATAACAAATCAATGATCAAGTAGATGAATAAAGGCACTAAATCAAGCCCTATGTTTTAATTTAAATACTTGAGAATAAAATAAATATGCTAAAATCATCGTCTCTACAAATTTAAATTTAATCTGATCTCAATATAAATATTAATGCTTAAAATCAAAAGAATTAAAATAAAAAAAATTTAGACAAGTCCAAACAAATGGCAATTAGGATAAGCATTGGCCATATATAGTATAATAAAAACAAAAATAAATGACTCAACTAAATAACAACAACACTTAGGGCCGCCCACAGAGGGGATTAAAAACCGGGCTGATTCCTAATCCCGGTTTAACAAATAACCGGTCTTTAAATAATAGCCGGTTTTATGGGAACAAAGTTCCTTTAAACCGGGAGAATTAGGTGGGGCCAAGGCCGTGAGGGGTGGGTGGTGTTTTACGTGACACAAATGTGGCGAACCGCACGCTGTTCCTTTATTCTTCACGTGGTTTCCACGCGCAGCTTCTTTTTTCGAAATGGAATCTTTTTGCAACATATTGACACCTCATCGACGTGGCGGAGTTAGATAGAGTCGAGAGGTTTGTTTGGACTCCTTTCGGAGAATATATACTTTCATCGACCCTTTCGTATGTTACTTCTTCATATTTCGTCATTGCTAATCAAAGTGGATTTTTTTTTGTTCCCTTGATTTATGTTATCTTTCATTAAATATATATATCAAATAACTTTGTCCATTCAGACTAGAACAAATATTTTTTAAATTTTTTTTATCTTTATTGAGAATTAAATTAGAAACGTCATAATTCTTATGTTACTTTATTGACTACTAAGCTAATAAATCAGATATAATTATAATTTATATCCATAGTTTTAATATTATAATGAATTTAATGTGGTAAATCTAAAAATTTAAGTTCTAAATTTGTGTCGACTCCATCATTAGCCCAAACCCTTTCGTTGAGGTTCATGACGTATTACGTTTTTTTTTTTTAAACTTCAAAATGCAAACAAATCCACAAATTATTCAAAGTTTGTTTTTAATTTTTTTTAAAGTCAAATAGTATTTTAATGTGAATTAAAAATTTGTAAGAACCAGTCTGTTTTTTTTTCGTTGACTGAATAATTGTGTGTTTCTTTTAGTTTTCTTAGTTATATACAAAGATTTATATAGCGTCTAAAAAATTGATTGTGTGGAATTTTTTTAACCTCTTTACTTTCTTTCAAAAAAATCGACATATTTTATAATTTTTTTGATGGGAAATAATATTTGCAAATGATATAAAATCCCGAGGACAACATCATTTTAAGTGTTCGTGGCTTCATGTCCGATTAATATTAAAGGTATTAAATATGTCAGTTAAATTAAATTTGAGCAAATTAAATTGAACAGAGTTATAAATAGGTGAGTCAATTTGGACTTGCAAAATTAATACTTACTCACAAATCTGATAATTCTAAAATAATATTATTTGCTTATGTCTATAATCAACTGTTACTCTGATCTTAAATTATCTACTCATCATTAAAGAATAAGATATCACTTTTTAAAATATCTTCTAGATAGGCCAGGCCTTTTTTAGACGTGGAACCAATTTATTTTGTATTTTATGCTAAGCTAATTAATCGAATATAAAATTATACTTTATATATACGTTTCATTTTATACAAAATATTTTCCTTCTTTATCTCCATTTTAAAAAAATGGATACATAATTTAATCTAAAGATAAATTGGATTTAAGTTTCTCATTAATATAAGTTTTTATAATTACTAAAAATAAGAAACCAACAAATACATGATTCATATTTCAAAAGTTTATAACAATATAAACAAAAGTAAAATTATTTTAATATTCCGTGATTGATGATCCGTCAAACTATAGAGTATAGATAAATCTCATTTTTCCTTAAAAATAAATTTTGAGTATAACAAAAGAATATTTACGATATAATTTCAAGAGTAAAATCTAAAGACAACAAAATTTATTATTATTTTTTCCACATAAAAGGCACACCAGGTGAACCCAAAAAGAGGCCCAAATATTGGGAGAACTTCTTTATAATTTCATATAAAATAAAATAATTAAAAAAAAACAATTTCTGTTTTTCAGGTATTACTTGATCACCCAAACATGACATAAACCCCCCGTCCCCGCACCAACCCCACTCACCCACCCCACCCCACCCCCCTTTTTCTTCTTCTCTCCTTCGATAAATACCCCTTTTCTCCATTTCTCCGCCTTCACTATAAACATTTTTTCTTCTTCAAATTGCTCATAATTTTTCTTTTCTCTCTAAAAAAGCATGAGAATGAGCTGCAATGGTTGTCGAGTTCTTCGAAAAGGTTGCAGTGAAAATTGCAGTTTAAGACCCTCTCTTCAATGGATCAAATCACCTGATTCACAAGCCAACGCTACTGTCTTCCTTGCAAAATTTTACGGCCGTGCCGGACTCATCAATCTCATTAATGCTGGTCCCGATCATCTCCGTCCCGGTACATGTTACCTCCTCCATCTTCTCTTCTCTTTTGTAATTGGGGAAAATTTTGACAAATCGATACTCTATCAACTGAGCTATTAAGATTATTTTATTTTATATGAATCTTTTTTTTTGTTACTTTTTTTTTAAAAAAAAAAGATTATTACTACTTCACTATTTTTAGATTTTTTTTAATAGATCACAAATTTAATTTTCTTAAATTACCTTCATATTACTTGAAGAGTTGAATGAATTTTTCTTTTACCACAACTTTATTTATTAATTATTGTGATTTAATTTTAAATATATTTATAATTCACACAAAAACTAGATCGTTAAATGGCACAAGGTAGTATTTAATTGGATATACTCGATGTGGTTCATTCAAATTCAGTAACTTTAATTCGAATTATTTATGTTAATTTTTTTTTCTAAATTTAAGATTTAAATCTTGAATTTGTGTTAGGATAGGTATACATGCAAATGAAAAATACTAACATTGTTTTTTTTTTTCTCAGCAATATTTAGGTCTCTATTGTACGAAGCTTGTGGCCGGATAATTAACCCGGTAAACGGTTCAGTCGGGTTAATGTGTTCCGGCAATTGGCAGCGTTGTCAAGACGCTGTCGAATCGGTACTCAAAGGCTCAACAATCATGCAAGTACCAATCAATAACGATGATGATGATAATAATAATAATAATACTGATCAAATTGTACCGTTAAAAGGTTGTGACATACGACATGTTTCAAAGAATAACTCAGATAACCAACAAGTCATCAAAACTAGGAATGGGCGGCTCAAGCGTAAGGGTACTTTTGATTCTGTTGCTTCAGCTTCCGCGGAAGCTGAAGCAGCAGAGGAGTACTTGTTGAAGAATCAACCCCCGTTGAAGTTCAGTATAACGGGGTGGGATCAATTTGAAGAGATAGATGATGAGTTGATCAAACGCGCCGCGAGTCATGACTCATTTTCGGTTGAAACGGTTGAACCGACCCTGTTGGTGAACCGGGTTGACCCGGTGAAATTGGAGGAAGATGGTGATCATGTAGGATTAGAGCTTACTCTTGGGTTGATGAGTCCAACATAATAGTAACAGGCTGATGACTCCCAAGAGCTCTTATTGACGGAGTCGTTTGATACCTTGACGTCGACTCATCACATCCTGATGTTGAAAAACAACATTTTGGGTTTTTTTAGTAAAGGGAAAACTAGTTTCCTTTTTTTAATGGTAATCTTTTTTGTTTGTTTTTGTTTTCTCTAGACTTTTTGTTTTTTGGGTTTTTTATTTTGGAGGCATATATACAAATAGATAAGAGATAAGAAGTGTAATTATGTAGAGATGTTGGTGATCGATCAATGTACGAAATGAAATTGTCACAATTAGTGACTAAGTGATCATTAATAATAATATAGTACTATCTAATTAACTATGACTAGTTGCAACAAATTGTGTATTTTTGAGGATTTTGCACTTATTATTATCCTTATGTTCTGAACTTGCTACTTTGTACTACTTGGTACAAAGGAAGGGACGATAAATTTTAATTTTAGTTCTTATCGTTAGAGATTGAATCTTTAGAATCACAATTCTAATAAGGCATCGATACCAAGCTACTCATTTTAATTTGTCTTTATATGGTAAAATATATTTACTTCTTCTGCTTGGTTATCTCAGTAGGAAATTGAAACAATCTATAACAAAATTATAATTAACGTTGGTATTTGCTCTACGAGTTTAATGACATTCAATATTTTTGACTCATTAAGTTGAAATTTTGAATTTTATCTTTGTTTCCACCCTAATATAATTAACTAGATTTATATTTTTCTTAGATTTTGATTGGCCAAAAAAGATGAAGAACACGTGGATGCATGGAGGAAATTTTGTCAACAAATGCTATGCATGCAATGGGTAAGTAAAGTTTGGATTTTGCCAAGTTTTTGAGGAAACAAAAGTTTATGCTTTACTTTTGCCTTATTTATGGATCATAGACATGAGGAACATGCTAGACTAGCTGTTGTGGACATTTCCCCAAGAATCTAGGGGTTTCTATGCAATTAAAAATATATATTTTTTAAAAATATGTGACATAATTTGAATCAGAGTTTAAGAAAATATAAAAACTTTTGATATATGTGTTTGTTATAGATATGTTATAACATTTGTATAGTTATCAATAAATTCTTGTTAGGGTAAAATGAGAGATGACAAGGCGTGTTAATTGTCAGGAATGTTATTTTTTAGTATTAAAGTAGATTCCGAATGTAAATTTTATGAATTCTAAATTCTATGATAAACAGACTTTTAAGTGTTAAAAGGACAAATTTATTGGATTCGACCTCTAAATTGCCCTCTAATTCTCCTAATATGTGAAATAAATTAAAAAGAGAAGTGCATCTCATGTATTAATTGAAATAGAGTATAGAGAGATGATTAGTAATCCAAAATTGTAGTGGTTAGTGAAATTGTTGAAAATTATGGAGTCTTACGTTAAATTTATAGTAAATATCAAAAATATTAAATAATTTCTTTTTATCTGTTTTACTTTGGCAAACAAAATTATTAAATACGTGTTGTTGATGAAACATGACAAATATCTCATGATATTAATCGAGAGACACACAAGTTAATTTAAATATCACAATTACAAGAAAAAAAAATCTATAACTCATTCATTAGTATGATCATCTTGAAGCACGTATCTAATGACTCCATTCATTGATGCATTGTCTTTGACGTTAACTAGTTTTATGCACTAATAATGTAAAATCAGTATACTGTAAATGTATATAACTTAAATTCAAATCGTAAAAATTGCATAAAAAATATTTCCCCCAATTGTAATGCAAGTTTAAAATGGTTTTATCAAATTAATTAAATAAAAACTTAGACGGGGAGATAAAGAAAAATTAAAAATGGTGCGTGTGGTATGGTGTAAGGGGGAAAAAGTTGACTAATTCTAATATTAACATGTAACATATCCAATTATATAGCTAATAGCTTACATCACATACAACCATAGCTTATAATATTTGTTCTATATTATTATATTATTTCTATCATATTAGCTTAAAGTTTTAATTGGCAACTTATGTACTAACCAACAATTTGTGAATGTTTTCAACTCAAATGATATTTGGAAGCTTCTCAATTAAGAAAGAGTATAAAACAATGGCATTATGGATTGCTGACTTGTTGCCAAGCCTTGTTGGTTTGTCACATATAACATATATATTCCAAATCCAACTTGAAATTAAAAAAATCTACAATATTATATAATATTCTTGCAAACACTAAAGGTATATATATTTGGTATAGAGAAAAATATTTTCTCAAAAAAGTATCAAAAGTTTTTCATATTCGATTAGTTAAGATATATTTAAAAAGATTCTCTAGAGAAAACGAATATCTTTAAAAAATGATTGTTTTAGCTAGTAGGAAAAGAGAAAACAAGTTTGATAAGTTGCATTGATCAAGCTGATCATTGTCTCCTTCCTATCCCCAACACCCCACCTCCCTCCGCCCTAACCCCAATTTCCACTTCACCCCATTCACGATATTTTCCTAAATTACATATAAATATATGGTCTGAGCTAGGAAGTAGAAAGGGATTCATCCAAACATGTTTCGTCTAATAATTATATTATATGTACATGCTAAATAAATGTGTGTGTATATATATATATATATTGAATTTCTCAACTTTTTTTTCCTTATATATATTTTGATTCTCTCTTACTGGAAATTTTGATTATGTAATTGTCATTGGGAATTTTTTTTTTCGTTACACACTTATTAAACACTAGAATATAAGCAAGAACTCACTTAGTTTTCATAGAAAATGTCTTCCTTTCATACCAAACACACCCTAAGTCCTTAATTTAAAATATATTTTTCAAGTAACGATTAGTACTTTCATCTTCTAACCTCCAACAACAATTTGCAGTTTTTATGGTTGAATAAAAATCATTTGCCAGGCACAAGCTTTCTTTAAAAATTATAAGATGACAGCATGGGTGACGAAAATTGGCATGAAAGTGATTTATTAATATTAATTAATAACTAATAATATAATAATTAATTGTTAATTAAAGAGTTTGATTATTTTATTAACAAGCTGAAGTGACGATAGTATCTAGATTCATTGTGTTCAAGTTTCCATTATGCAAACATGTGGAGCCATGATTTGGTAATCCAATTATATTATTTAATATAAAAAAATTTCTTAATATTTTTTTAAAAATTTGCTTTGGCAGGTCGCCTCATAGTTTTATTAATTAATAAAATAATCACTAATATCACTGTCTTGATGCTAGCTAGTTTTTGGATATAATCAACTTTACATAATTATTAGTGGGTACCTATCATTTATTTTTTTGGAAAAATTGTCCTCAGAACTCAGAAGAAATAACAATATAATATAGATGGTAATGAAATAATTAGAATCATTTCATTGTTACCCAAAGATTCCTAATTTAAATTCTTGAAAATAGAAAAATTCTATTGGAGTACTTGGACAAAAATATATACTCCTTAAGGAGTAATATATAGCAAAAGAATCTTGAGGTTGTGGTGTACGGCTTTAATTGTGCAAAAAATATTTCTTGTATATTATTATAACTATAATGACATTTGTTGTTTGATTTGGTTGTGAATATGTCTTCTGAGCTACGTTATGATTGAGCCTAAATATATGCATATTTTATAGACTTGTGCTAAGTCTATTTATCTAAAATGTCATATACAATTTTTTTAAATAAAGTTATTAATCTCTCTTTTACTTGCTTTTATCAGTTCACCCTCTTTCACAGTTCGAGTTTTATGAGTGAATAAATTTTTGTAGAAACCAAAAAATATTTTACTCCGTTGATGAATCTATCCAAACAAATTCAAATTAATCAGTCAAGTCATTATATTTCGAATATCAGAAACCTAAACAAAAAAAGTTCATATTATTTCTTGTATCTAATAACAAAAACACATCAGCTCTAGCACTAAAATACATCATGGAGGGTTAATATACTTTAATCAATATTATAGTCAATATATAGGGAGTCGTGCGTGGGCTGTTTTTCACATAAATGGTAGAACATTAACAAAATACACATAAAATGGCATCATATAAATTAGGAAATTATTTTTTTATGTAAAAATAAAAGTTAATATACAATTTTAACAATTTTATGATAAACCGTAGAATTGAGACCCTATAACTGAAAATCAAATAAAATGAAGAAATGACTGATATAATTTGATTCGATCTAATCATTTGTCGGTATTTACTCCCACTCCTAAGTTTATCATAGACACGGCTATCTTATTATTGGATCACAACTTATATTCAAATCATCCAATTTGATTGGCTTAACTAATTATTTAATCATTAGTATATATATTAAAAAGATAATACTCTTATTATATGGTCAACTAATAAAGAGTTTTCTCTTTCTTTCTTTTTCTTCTTAAATTAAAACTCTGTCAAAGTCATCAGACATGGATTCCATTTTTTTTTATGGTATATACTTGAATCTGCCTAATAGTCCACCATAGATTATATTAATAAAAAATACAACAAGAAAACTTTTACTTTTCTTCCTATTTATTATATTTACTTCACAAATATAAAAAAAATGCAAGTTGTAATTCCTTAAATAAAATATTACGTGTTAAAAGAATTATTTAATTCCATTTGTTGAATATTACGTGCAAACCGTGATTCCCGACTTGTACATTCAATTTCCTCAAAGAAAGAGTTAAACTAATTGATTAATGAGCAATTTTTTTATCCCTAATTATGGATAAATTATTGTTTTAATTTTTATGACATCGAACTAAGCATATTAAACCTGATTCTTGACTTCTACATCCAATTTTGTCAAAGAAAGAGTTAAATGAATGGGTTATTAGCATTTTGGTCGAAAGTAATTGAAAAAAAGAATCTTATTTTAGTCTCTAAGCACATTAAACATTCCATGAATTAAATTTGTGCACTTTAAATCATGTTGCTCAGATATATTCACAAATGTATCATAATTATTGTTATTTCATATTTGATAGTAGTATAGTTTTATATATAAATAGTCAAATATAACATATTTTCTATATGAAGTAATCGAACAGCACAAGGATCAAAGAAGAATTTATCAATAATTTAAGGATCAAAAGTGCTATTAACCTCTGTTTTTTCAATATTTAATTAGGAGATCCTTTGCACTAAGACTACTTTTAATCACTGATTTAAAAAATGAGGTAAATTTGTTTAGTGGGTAATAGGAAACGTAAAGTATCTTGATTAGGCTTTTGAATTAAACTAATCAAGCAATTTACTAATATAATAATATTTCAGATTGAATTTGATAGAGATTAGCAAAACGGTGAAGTTTCCCCGCATAATTAGAATAAAATAATACCATATGGATTAG